CTACCACCATCACTCAAAGTATTTGGAAGAATAAGAGATCGTCAAGAGGGAGTTTCCTGCTAATGAGGCTGTTGATGCGATTGTGATTGCCATTTTATGAAATGATGGAATGCTCGATTGCCTTGAGGTATTACTTGGGGTTTACTCTATTTTGCGTCTCTTTGAGAATAGAAGGAATGGAAGGAATGGAGGTGTGTGTTTACTGGGTGTACAACGGAGGTGAGGGTAGAGAGAGGGTCAAACCGTGGGAGGATCTGGAGATGTATAAATCAAAGTGGGATCTTCCATTGGCTGTGAGAGATATTTTTAATATGATATCCTACGCAGACATGAAAAATCAGGACAACACTTTTCCAAGACTTCTGCTGATGAATTCCGTGAAACTTTAGATATGCTACATCAATTGGATCCATCCCTGGTGGTGGATAAATGGACTTGGTTTAATCAGAGGTAGAACCTTGTGTGCTCCATAGTTTATTTTTTCTATATGTGAATGGTCAATTTCAGACAGTAGGTATTTGTCAAAAACTCTTGCAGTGAACCATCTCAGATCACTTCCCTGTTTGTTCGGACTCTGATGGAATTGTTGAGGTTTATCTCCTTTTAGATTTGAAGATCAATGGGTTAAGGTCACTGGGTCGAAGGAATGCTACGCTTCTTTGTTTTCTTTTTGGGACAGAATGATTCTCTTTGCTTATTTTGTGGGCCAACAATGGTCTCTTATCTATACTGCAAAGGGACTGTATTGCAGCCTTATATTGATTTTTATGTGTTTTTTACATATTTTCCCTGTTGTTGGCTTAGGAAAGATTTCTTATCCGTTGCTTTTTTTTTTTCACTTCTCTCTAATAATATTTCTTTTTTTCATCCAAAAAGAAAGCAAGTGAGATCTTAGTAGTATCATATGAGACATCAGAAAGATCACTCACAAGACTAAAACATGTGTAGAAGATGAAAATTTCTATTTCCTAATCTTCAACATATTTTGAAGTACAAGCAAACTGGTCCGTTGCATATTTTTCAATGCAAGTAATGAAATATCCAATATTTTTATTAGTCTTGTGTGCATGAAGCAAAAAATAGTGTGAACGGAAGTTGCATATTCCTATCCTCTTGTTAATTGTAGTTAATCCTTTTTTCTTTGTTTCAAGCATGCCAATCATGCATGTTATTCATTGTATTGCTTGCAATTTTCAGTTTATGACCATTTTTAAATATTCTTTTTCGCCTTTCAGGTATTCCCAAGTTCATCTTGATCTCAGTTCATGACTACAACCTACCATCATTTTTACTTTCTTCTGGATACTTCACTGGAAAGAGAAAAGCAGAATCAGAAGTTTTATCTAAATATCCAAATTCTGGTAAGTATGCAAATGTTGGAAAGTTATTAAAATGCCAGTGATATTTGTTTATGGGTATTTCTTGGGTAAATTCTGGATTCTGAAATTTTAGGGTCAACACATGCATCGAGAAGTCCCTATTTTGTTCATAGTCAGGAATTCTGTTCTAGGAGAGAGGATAAAATCTAGAAACAGAGATTATTTTGTTGGATGTTGCTGCATTCCCTTTTAGTGCATTTAATTAGTACCAATCACAAGTAAGCGTGTAACTTATTGAAGCAAGAATTTGATGGATTTGATATATGGTTAGAGAGCTTATAGATGCATGCATATACACGATCTTGTACTGTGTAAATGACTCACAATCCAGCATGCCTTACTCGTCCTATCATCCATGCTCTACTTGTTATGTTTAAACTGGTGCACAAGTAAACTATTGTTTCTCTGGCTCTTCATCCTGGAGTTCTTCATGTCGTCCGCGCTCTACTTGTTATGTTTTAACTGGTGACAAGTAAATTACTGTTTCTGTATCTCTTCATCATGCACTTCTACAGGTGTTGTGCTACGACCTGGTTTCATTTATGGAAAAAGGAAGGTAGATGGCTTTGAGATTCCTCTAGAATTGGTTGGGGAACCCTTGGAGAGAATTCTTCGAGCTACAGAGAACTTTACCAAACCACTAGCCGCCCTACCAGCATCTGATTTGCTCTTAGCTCCACCCGTGAGTGTTGACGATGTTGCTTTTGCTGTTGTCAATGCAATAACAGATGATGACTTCTTTGGCATTTTCACAATAGATCAAATTAAAGAAGCAGCAGCAAAAGTGAAGGTCTAGGTCTGTTAGCTTCCTCACATTACATTTATAGAGATAATAAAGAGGAATCCGGGATAAAATAATCCTGCAGATTGTATAATCTCTTGTATATGGATGTTCAATTACTTAGTAAATACTCTCTCTCTCTATCTATCTATCTATATATATATACATATACACACACACACAAACAGTAGATGGCTTATATATTAATAATCTTAGATCGGCTCATTAAGAGCGGCTTAGCCACATAATTTATATTATTATTTAGAGAGCCGATTAAAATATTGAAGTCTAGTTTTGATAGTTGTCCATTTTGTTTTATGAATGGATGATTGTTGATTGTCCTCGTTACTGTTTTCCGCATGATTGTCTATAGGCAAAGTAGGATCTTAATATAACATGTTCTAATATTAAGTTTTAGGCATGTACGTAATTATTTACATTGAAGAGGTACCATTATCTACCTAGAACTCCCCAAAAAAGAAACCTTAGGCCTGGGAGTTCTTTATTCATTAGAAACTTACAATTTTGGCATTTTTAAAAATGATTCAAACACCTCATAACTTTTTTATTTTGACTAAATAGACCTTAAACGCCTTTTATCTACAAAAGAAAAAGAAATTTAAATACTCTAGCCATTAATCTCTTGTCAAAATTCAAGTAGCACAAGGCTTTGTGCTTTAGAAGGAAAACTACAAAACAAGAACAGAAAGGCTTATCCCACGATTTTTTGCCATGAGTAATTTTCTTTTTCTAATCCTCATTTTATTTCAATAAATAAAGGCTACCGTGCACTTCACATCTAAAATTGTTACTCTTCCCCTCCATTATTGTATCCTCAATGTCATATCCGTCATTGAATTCCATAAATCAAACAACTGATAATGGCACAAGAACCTTCCGAAAGCCATAGGTATATAAACAATGCAGTCAATGTCATGCTGAGATAATTTTACAGTTTCTAGTGGAATAGTAATAGGAAACACTGTGGTAACATAGTTATAGAACAGAATGAGAAGAGATTAAAGAAGGAAAGAGAGAAAAGAGGAAGGTGAAGGAAGAATGGAAAAAGAAAAGATGAAAAAAAAAGGAAAAAAAAACCAGAATTTAGAGAGAGAAATTCTTAAATTTTATTCATATAACCACCATTACTCCTATTACATCTAATATCTTTATATAGTAAACATAAAAAAAAAAGGTTAAAAATGTCAATAGCAATTTTGACAGCTAGAAAAATTTTCCACTTTAGGTTACTATTACCTTTTATCTAATAGAAGATGAGACAAGTCAGCAACTTCACAAGTTACTGCCTTTAGACTCGTTAGAGAGTACAAGTTTGCAACTTGTGGCTATCCCTTCGTCTGAGTCACTCAAACCTAACACCTAAATAATCAGCATAAAATGAGATGCTATATCATTCTAGTACTGATAAAATACTAGCCCCATCTGAAGAAATAAATTAAAAAAACAAAAAAAAAAGTTCATAAATCTAGATAACATTTTCGTCAATAGCCTATTATATCATTTCCAAACAAGCCATATGATGGAAGAAAATATAAAACTTACATAACACTCTAGAAATACTCTATTTTTGCTTGTTCTTATATCATTAGGGTTTTCTTACCAAAATTAGTTTGCCTAACACCACTTTTTTTATTACTATTGAAAGCAAAAAAACATAGGTGAATAATAAAATCTAAAAACTAATTTATAAATGGATTGATATTAGTTAAAAAATAGACCAAATCAGTATCTACTTTCTCTCCAGAAATAATTCTCGTTAAAAAGTCCCTAAAGTAAACTTGGGATGTACTATAAATCTAGCTAAGTAATAACTAGTACCATTTAACTTAGACATCAACTCAAGTCCAGTTTCCTTCCATATTTGTATACAACAAATTTGGCTGGTAAATGGCCACCGTAATCAATCCATTAGATTCTTCTCTTAAACGCCAGAGTAAAAGTTTGAGATAATGATGAATCCTATTCCACTGCAGAAAATGTCTAAGACTTCTTTTTCCTTGCCATAGACTGTTCCATAAGGTACCTGTCATAATGGAAAATCACCAAGAGTTTCTAACATACCAAAACTCATAAAGGACTATAGATAACTCACCGATAACTGAACATTTATGGTTAAAAAAGTAACAAAGATGAAAACTTGAAGGGCCAAGGGCCTTACTGATCTATCTTTTCTCATTGAATAGCTGTGGGGGTTCCACGATCCACATATGATATAGGATAGGGGTATTCACCACTTACAAATTGGATTAAATTGGACTAGCTATGAGATTGGACATTTCAAAATTGACACTTTTTATTAGATCACATCCTAAAAACACATGTTAATGGTTTGTTTAATAGGAAATTCCATTTTTGTGATCTTCAAAACTTCAAAACACCAACCGAATTTTTAGCCAAAGTACCAACACTTAATGTTTGTATCCTCAATAGTCTACTCATTAGATGTGAAAATCTTATGGATTACGAAAAAAAAAATCATCATTTGATAACAGGGGCATGAATAATTACTTGCAAGTGTAGAAGCCTGCAGAATACCAAGCATTTAAAACAACATCAAGATCTGTTTAAGATCCATTACTTGAAGGCGTGTCCTCAACAGTTTCTTGCTTTTCCACTTTCTCTACATTCATGGAAATACATAAAAGATCAATACAACAAAATGTAAGAGATATAACCATATCTCTCTGAATCTTTAAAGTTTACCTAGAAACATCAAAACCCAATTAACAGAAAAAAGGGCCAGTGGAACTCAACGGTTGAGCATGACATGTATAAGGTGGTTAAACTGCAGTTTTTGTACTTGGAAAGGAGAAATGGTGTTATGACCTAACAATTGGTCCATGTTCCCAAGGTTTACTCAACTATTACTAAGTTTCTTTTGCCAGCAACTTTGTATAAGATAGGATGAAGAAGATTGAGCACACAATTTGGAGAAAGCTCATTAAGAACTAAATTGGAGATCTCGGTTCTTAACAATCAAATCAGCAATCCAATATTTGTATAATAATCATATGAATAGTCTACCAATAACTAATC